AAAAACATTATAATAAATTAATTCTATATTTCTGTACATATATACACTTTTTGTAAGCTCAGCTGGAAGAAAAAAATTAAATGAATTAATAAAAACCTTAATAATATAATCAGATAGGCTGTTCACCAATTTATAGAACTATAATTTTTGTGAATGACAATTATGATTTCGAAATCTGAAGCAGCTATAATACTATGTAACTGAACTAATTTCCATTTCATTCTCGAAAAATAGTTATACACACTCAAATATTGTGATGATGGACACTTTTAAAGCTGTTGTATAAGTAAGCGCAGAACAATCTGACTGAACGGTTTTTAATTTTCTTCGCCACAAAAAAAATATACTAAATAATATAATTTATATATATTTAAGCTCGCCGAATGACGACTGGAGCGTATATTGTTTCTTCCCGAAAAAATGTTTTCATCTCACCGTTGTGCTTCGTTTAAATCGTTTAATACTATGATAGAGTTATGTATAGATACACGTATAGTTATATACACACCTGTATAATATAATTGTTTTCCTCTTCGTTGTTTGTTCCTGATTACCAACATACTGCAGCACTCATACTATGCACTTGTGACTAATTTCTATCGATTTGTCTTTGCCCACACAGGTTCACATACTGTCACATTTCATAATGAACGGAGTGTGCGTCCGGTGGAAAGGGCGCATCGACTTGGACAAATTGGATGGCATCGGTTGTCTGGAGTTCGACGAGGAACGAGCAATGGTAAGTGCATATATTATATAATTGCTGTTATACACCGAGAATATCATAGTACCCCCCGGAAACAATATAAATACGACACGTGTACAATTTTCCATCATAATAATATTTAAATTCAAAGACTTATATAGTTTTGATTTATTCACATAATAAGCGTCACATTTTTCTTCATCCATATGCGTCTAAACGCATAACGGCCATCGGCGGTGGTGGTTTTGGCCCACTGCTCAATCAGTCGCCGAAATTAGGTCATATTTTTTAAAGCGATTTCTCAAGTTAAACAATAATTATAGTTGTCAAAATTGTTATTAACGAACTGTTAAAAATTATAATATACAATATAATATTATATAGGTACAAAATATTCTGCAATGGTTTCCCAAAAACCGTCAGTGGGTGAATATCTTATCTCAACGATTTATTTTTTATTTTGCTTGTTTTCGTTACGATAGATCGAAAACAGGATGTTGCAGGAGCAAATCGAGAGATACAACGACCGTATCAGAGAATATCAGGACAAACCTCGTGCCTACAGAAACCAAGAGCGTGGTGTTACCGATTCAGATTTAGACGTGAAAAGGAGATTGAACTATTAGATCATTGTATATACATACATACACGATACGGCGCGTTTCTACACAATATATAACTATATTACCTACCTATAATATTGTAGTGTGTTTGTGTTATGTATTTATGCGTTTGTGAAGTACTCATATGTTATTATTATTATTATTTCTTTTTAATTAGTTAGTTTTTATTTTTGTTACTTCTTTATAGAATTATTATTATTATTATTATTTTTTTATATATACTGACTGGCGTATAATGCATTTATTATATTATATTATTATGAATTGCGTTTGCAAGTCAAACAATCAATATAGTTTAAAACATTGTCATACTATTTTATTATATATTTTATAATATCTATATTTGAATAAGTTTTCTGATGAACGCTCTGAAACCGATATTTTAATCTTCTGAACAAAAACTCTATTTGAATGCAAAATCATTTATCTTCTTTGTATAGCATCTGAAACTTTATTGTCAGATTGCAGTATAAATTAAACACCATAATATTATAGCATTTAATGAATTAATAATGATCTCTTAAACATGATTTGGTGATCGAAGAGYGGTATTTTAGTGTACTATTAAGTTAATACATTTGTTTATGCAATTCAGCATAATAATATATATTATATACTTTTGATAATATTTAGTAACTGTGTTTTTTTTTTAACATAGAACGTTTAGTGGCACATTTATGATGAATGTATAACAATTCTTTTTGAAATTAAACTGTTTTTTGTTTTTACGTTTACTATAAAGAGAGTGCAATTTAGATTTAAAATTTTAAACTAGTAGACGATTGAAAATTTTTAGTAGAAAAAACTTGTTCTTTAAAATAATTATAACTTACTGTGGTTTACGACACAGAGAGAAGAAAACAATACTACATCAAAAATACTGTTAAATTTACAACGCATYCAATTTGTTTAAACAAAATTTGCGCATTTAAGTTGTTTTTCGTCACTTTTTGAAAGTTATATMTCCAGAAACTTTTCACTAATCTTACAAATGTTCAATCTTAGCTTTTAACAGWAAAGAAATAAWGATGCTGGCATTAATTAGTTAAAAAGTTAAAGCTAAGTTATTTTTTTTAACCTGCAACTTAGGTAGTTAGTTAGCTTGGTAACTAAACTTGTAAAATTAAATGCGTTTTTTGTGAATTACTAACTTATAGCTGTATAAATATTGTTAACATATAACTAACTCAAGTAWTTTTTTCTGCTAATTACCAATTTGCTTTGTATAAACGACCGTTAATACGCCACTAGATTATAGTCTAAACTGTAAATTGTAATGTCTGTAAAACATAATAATTAATATGATGATATTATTATATAATTGTACGTTTATA